TTAATAAATGCAACACTATTATAACTATTGTGTTATACAGACAGATTTATAAACAAACAGCTGGAATTATGTTTCAAAATGTATGAATCTATTTTTTGCTATGGAGTAATTAAAACTTATTACACATTTTTAACTTCAAAATCGGAGCATGCACTCTAAGATCAGTTTTCATTTCCTTACCTTATGGCATTTCACTATTAGGCCAAGAGAAGAGAAGCCTCAGTGATTAACTGCCTAATATGTGCAGTTGTTCCTTACTGCACACAGAACACATGGTTCCTGAACTCTTATGCACAGAAAGGTAAGGAAGGATCAGCGAGGAAGCTTCAGTCTGCAAGCAACTGCATTTGTTAGTTCTCTTACAAAAATGTTTTGGGGTGTTAAGTACTGCTCGAGCTGTAACACCAGTCAAAACACTGTCTTTCAATCAAATCAAGGCTCAGCTGTTTTTTCATGTAACAGTAGCAAGATAAACTACCAAAGAGATCAGCAACATAACTTTTTAGATGTTGTGTGTCCTCAAGTTTATGTGTTAAGTCCTAAAAATACTGAACAGCTACAATTCCACTTCTTACAGTGTGTCATTGTTACATTGAAGAAAGCAGAATTTGAAGAAATGTTATCTCACACTGCCTTTGGGTGTTGTTTCTAATTTTATTAGTGACTCAAAGCATTGAGGTTTTTTTATTATACTAAAAGCTAGTATCCCCTCTCCTGACAATCTATTCTAATGAGAATGTTGTCTGGAAATTCTTCCCAACTCCTTCCCTCTCCTGCGCTTACTAAACACATTGGCATCATTCTGTAAATGAGAGAAGTGGCTACATAGTAGTTTGCACTTCTTAAGAAGTGAACCAGGTTTTCCATGGCTATCAACATGCTTCCAGATGTTTTTATGAAAGTATTCGTGACCAAATTCTACACTGGCATAAAAATTGTTTTCTCTGGTTTTTAATGGGGCTGTGACTGATGACAGGAATGAAGCTGACTCACTGCAACTATAAGGCTTGAAAATTAAGAGAAAGTAAGAAACTATCTAATAGTTTCCTCATGTAGGATTCTTTCCATCTGCAGAGATCTAATATAGATTATAACAGTAACAGCAATCTGTGGTTCTTACCCACAACTTGAACCTGCACAATTAGCATACCAAAAATTATGATCTAAGGTTTGCTCAAGAAACAAAATAACACAGCTGAATTTAAAAAAATCTAACAAACCAACCAAGAATCTGCACGGCAAACTATTTGGCCATTGAATATTAAACGGTTTCTCAAATCTAACTGGCATGAAGAAACCATTCCATCACTGGTGAATTTGTATCCTCTGGGAGAATTACTGCCCCACCCACACACCATTTAACATCACACAAACTGTGACCGTCTTTGGAAGAGCAAAAAGCCTCTTGGCTAAAAAAACCTGACGGTGATCCAAAATGCTTTCTAGTTAAAATTGGCAGTAGTCCCTACAAATTAATATTTTGAATAAAGTAAAACTCTTACAATGAATAAATAGGTGTAAATTACAAAAACCCCTAACACACCAGGAAGAGTTACAAAGTCAGCATTAGGAGCACCAAAACCAAACACAAAATCTTCCCTTACACATTTGTACTGCCTCAAAGGAAGATAATAGATCACTCAAAGTGCACTGTACTTTAATGACAGTGAACAGGTAGTAATATGCTGTTTATTATAGAGGTTGTGAGAACTGAAGACTCACTGACTTCTGTACAGAAATAAGCCTGATGGGTAAGCTCAGCACAAAGCTACTTGGAATTGGTTTTCTGCCTCCTGCTTGTATTCCTGCTCTACCTATAACTCACTGACTAATACACTGACATAAGGAAAAGCACAATTACTCTGCAGTCACAAGCTCCTGGATAAGCTCCATACATATATCTTACTATGCTCTGAGATGCCACAGGACAGAAAATGATCCTGCTGCTGCTATGGCTGAGCAGCCCTGGGACTTGAGCCCATTAATGAAATACAAGTAAATTCCGCATAGCGGAGAAAGGGCAAGAGGCCCTTTCACCCCCGTGGGATGCCGTGTGCAGCCAGCCCTCCCAGCAGGAGTGGGATGGGACACACACACTGCGACACCATGGGGAGAGCCCCAGCTCTGACTGCACGCAGGACTGAGCGCGCAGGCAAATGCAGCCCCAGGCAAGCTGGAAACAGAAGGGTGGTGTAGAATGGATTTAAGCATTTCCTAGTCTGAACACAGGTACTGATGAGTAACAGCTTTGCACAAAGATAAATAATCCTTAGTATTAATTGTCATGAAAGCAAACACAGTGACCAGTGATGATCAGCATACAGTAGTGTGAAATCTGCCTTAGCAGGTTAATATAGCTGCCTGATGAAGTTTTCTGCTAATGAAGATGGAGTAGAACAGCCTGAAGGTTCTTTTAGAGTAGTAACAAAAACTTAATACACTTACATAATTTCCTTATAATGTTCAGGTTTTTTTGAAATGAATAAATTAATGCTTTTAAAACAAATTATGTGGTTTTGATGCATATAAGGTTTATTGCAATGAGTTGCTTAAAAGCTGATGTTTACCAAAATGAAACTTTGTACAGAGCTAATTCTCATGCTTTAGTGTAGGTTGTGTTATATAATATCGATAAAAATTATATTTATGTACTTTTCATGAGGGAATATTTTTATACAGATGGAAAAATATTTCCATATCCTTATTCTGCCTGGTTCTTGAACATTTATCCTGTTCTACAGAAAAGCAAAAATTATTATAATTCCTTTTTTTTTTACCTCAACTGAAAAAGCACAGACTTACTCATCTTTACAAGGTCAAAGATGTCTCTTTCTGCTCTGTACAGAAGATGAAGAACCATTTCCCTCTGATTTAATCTGTTCTGATAAAATCAAAATGGCCTAGATGAAATGATAATGTAGGAACTGAGTCGTCTGTTCCTTTCCTCCATCCACAAGGACATACTTTCTGAATAAAAGTAAGTGCAGATCTATTATCTTCCCTTTTATGTTATTTATTCTAATCTCTTTCAGATCTTACTGAACTCTAGTTAAAAACTGAAAATGGCAAACATGACAGAGTGAAAACAGCTACAAAGACCATAAGAATATCTCACACATTTATACAGAACCAGGAAAAGAAAGGAAATTAATCCACTGTGAGTTAACTACAGATAATCTCAAGTACTAAAATATTCTCAAGTGGAATAGTTTGACACCAAGTTATAGACTGCATTGCAAACCCAAATCTATCTATATATATCTTGCTCTCTGAGGTCTGAAGGTTATTCTAAATAATACAAAAATATCTTCATTATTTGACATTTAAAGAGAGGAATAAAAATCCCTGAGTAAGCCAAAGACAACTGATATGTATAGCCTCAGAAAACACACTCAAAACCAAGACCAATTTTAAGGCAGCTTCCAACTTCAGACAGAACACAAACAGAAAACTGGTATGTCTCAGAAGAAAGTAAGTCTAAATAGCAGGTGAATTTGCATTGACAACAGGCTCTGAATTTTATTTCTAAATGTCATTGCTTCCCTTCTTAATTTGCATATCTTTGAAAAGTACTATTCCTACTGTTAGGATAAGAGGGTCAACATGCCCTTAAATTCAAATGGAAGTTATTAGTTATTGACTAGTATGGTGTGCTTGAAGAAAAAACTGCAAGAAAACAAAACCAGAAGCTGACAGAAAACAAGCATACTAGCCAACTATGGTAAGCTGATACTTGTGTTTCCAGGTAAACAAAAGTCATCAGCTTCTTTCACTGAGGCTTCAAAGTCAAAGTATCTTATAACAGTATTACGTTGGTGGGGCAGAATACTATTTGCTTAAAAATTACAACCGGATTCAGATTTCACAACAATTTTCAAAGAAAGTGGTACAAAGTACATCCTCTTAAATGATACCTTATTTGCAAAGCTAAATTTTGAAGTCAGTAGACTCTCAACGACATTTCCCATCTTCCTTCTTCCCCTTTCACCATATATACACAAACATATATAAATATGTGTGTCTCTTCAAACACACACACTGAAAAGAAATATCTTCACAGTACAAATCCAATCCTCTAAGATTAGCTTGTATTTTTACAGTATGAAGTAGGTATTTTTCTTATTCAGTTCCTTTCTCTATTGTTTCAGTGTTCTGTCTAAACAAATTTATTCTAGTTTTTTCTTTTAAGTTATATTTGTATGATAAATTTGGATTAAAATTAGAAGTGTAAAAATTCTCAGTAACCGACTCCTTATGCTGAATTACATTGCTTTTGTCATGATGCACTGAGAAAGAGGTTTGGTAGCAAACAGTGGAACTTAAGAAAAGAAGAGCAAAGATAGCTATTCTCTTCAGAACTGTCATGCACCAGGAAGAGAAACACTGGAAACAGAAAGTAAGAATGAAGTGGTCTTCTAAGAATTTATGATCACTTCCCTTACCCTGGATTCACAGATTTTCCTCATGAGACATCAGTGGATACTCCAAGACTTATATAGTAGTAGCCTACTCAAGGGAACAAACAAAATGTGCTATTTAGGTTATAAAATGTCATCAAGTCAATCCTCACCCAGGTAGTGTGCAGCACGTGTATCATATTCCAAGTTAGAATAAAAGAGCAGGTTTCCAGCTTCTCTGCAAACACACTTCAGGGATATCTTAGGACAGATTAGGCCACTGACACATCTTGTTATCTAAACCCTTCAAATTTTTTCTGTACTGTGAGAATTTAAAAATGAAGTCCTGTTGTAAGTAATCTTGTCACACCCCCACCCTTAATATTAATAGACTGTCATGAATAAATTACTGAAGTGACACCAATCACCATATTCTTAAGTATCACGGCGCTTCAGTACTAAGTGTATTTCCCTCTGAGGCACTGCAGTTTGGCGGTGGCAATGTGCACTCCACTAGCAGGAGGACTCAGAAGATAACCAGCTGTCGTGCTCTGGCATGTGATGGGGTTTTGGTATGCTGAACAGAATGCTGTGTGATGGAAGTTATTTACAGAAGTAGTTTTTAATACCAAAAGTAGTATGCTCAGTATACAGTAAGAGTCCGAATACTTCTAAGCATTTCCCCCTTAAAGGCCGACACTGAAATTAAACGAGCACACGTTAGCAGTTAAACACTTTCTTCACAGGCCAGATCGGTAGTAGAGTTGTGGCTACAATACAGACTTGGATTGTCTGGTTCAGAAACTTAGACTCAAAAAAACCCTTCCAAAGTAATAACTAAAAAAATCCAAACCAAAAATATTTGAAAAGCAGCAGTCAGGGGGCCCATCTTGTTGAGAGTGCACCAGAGCAAAGAGGCTTTCTGGTCTGCAGTAGTGTTTTCAGCTGAGGGAAGATGGCAGGAGAGCCCCCATTCTTCTTCCAGGGCGGTGGCTTTGATGCTGTAACCAGCACTGTATTGCTCTGTTGCACAAAACATGGATAGCCCTTGCAGGACCAGCTCAGTTCAGGCGAGTAATGTCTGTCCTCACCAGGGCATACCTGTCCGTGACCTTTTCCTCTGCTTTTTACAAAGGCAATAGATAGGAAACACAAATAAACCTGCCAAAAGAAGGAAACATGAAAGAAAAAACATAATTAAATGCAATCCTTCGTGCAAGTGCTACGCTCTTTAGATATATGCATTCAGATGGAGCTTTTCATGTCTCAGGAGAATTTAGAGCAGGCATTTGGACCAGCAGAAAAAACACCAGCCTTCAACAAACAGACTCTTTGATAATGAGTTAAGCCACTTACTACTTACTCCTTACTTACTCCTTCTGTTACAACAAATTCCTGCTAACTCTACACTCATCTCTGAAAAATTAATTTCTGAACCACGCTGTTTGGTATGAGGTACAAACATAAAACTTTTAAAAGCACTCTGGAAATTATTAGATCTAAATTCAAAGCTGATGTAACTAAAGTAGTTTTCAATTAGATTCACATGCAATAGAGACAGCATGTTTTAGTTTAATTTTTTATTTATTTTTATGAACGCCCTCATCTACTGTGAAGTAATAAAAAATGCTTATCTTGACTAATATCAAGTGTTTATCCTTGCCTGGACAGGGAACTATTTATTCTTAAAAGTCATTTAAGAAAGCTGTAAAAACAAAAAATAAATAAATACATCACTATCATTTAGGTGAAAAGTAATTTGTCAAATAGTTTGTACTCTCTCAAACCCAAATGAGTATCATCTTCCCCTTTTTCTTTCCACCAGCTGACTGAAATGGCTGAAGATTTTCTTTTCAGATACCACTACAGTAACAACATAGAACAAAAGACTACTACAATCACAGGGCTCTTGCTTTGCTCAATAGCCTTGTAAATGGTGCAGTATGGTTTTCAGTCATGTAACTGAGATTAATGGTGGTTGGCAGCAAATATTCCTCCAATTACCTCAAAACCAAAACTTTTCTATAAATAATGAATGTTTTTGGAACTGCCCACACTGCTGGCCTTGATTGTATCTTATTCAGCCAAGCCTAGGAAGAGACTTCAATGGCATTCTGATTATTATTGCAAATATTGTTACTACATCACTGCAAAACCCTCTAAATTTTCAGTATATCAAAAATGTGGGTGTTTTTCCCCACCATAGATTATACCAGATTGCAGACCAAAATAAGATTTACTGGCATTAAGAAGTCTCTACTGTTTAAAATTTTGGCATAAAAATGCTATTGAATAGAATGAATATTTAAGATAGACGTCGCTCACCCTCTTCAGTGAAGATGTTTGGTCTAAATACAGAAATTACAGCAATATTCCTTATTTAGCCAGATGTAGTCTAGAAAAGCTGTAATAGTATTTTGGTTATAGGTTGACTGGTTACTTACAACCATATTAATATAACTATCCTGGTGTATTTTGGCTGTATTATACAGAAATAAAGTGCCACATCCCAATATACCTCAGGGCTGGGCATTCACTGCAAATTCTCAGTGGAATAAGCAGTTTGATGAGAAGCTGTGAAGCAGCATGACCCCTGAATGACATTGCTGCCAACATAAAGAGTGGATATGCACTCACATGAGCAAGCTGATACCTCTTCTTGTCACAGCAAGTCCTGTTTCTGAAGGAAAACTCAGCTAAGCCAGGCAAACAACAGTTTTGCTAAAATATCTGTGTCCATGTTAATACAACCACATTAACAGAGCTTTGATACTGTAATTAAGTGAGTTCACAATACCAGTTTTTGTGATGGAATACAATTTGGCAGCCATTGCACTGGATCATGTTTTGAGACTGACTCATCCCAATTTGCTGCTTTGTTGCTGTTGCATCTACAAGCTGGTGAGCTCTTGGGACTAGGCTTTAGTTCCTAAAAATCTTGTCATACACATGGCCAAGATCATAAAACTGTGGGGTGATTAAAGGCTGGGTGCAAGTCAGTCAGCCCCCAGGATTACATTTAAGTTACTCTGGACTTTTTGCTAGTTTATCTACAGCAGTTAAAGATGTTTATTTGGAAAACCAAATAAATGGGAACAAAAATAAAGCTACTAAGCATAAATTAAAAAAAAAACTTCTTTTAGAGAAAAGTCGTCTTTAATACTAAAACAGTGGAATCTGTACTTTGTCTCCATGTCTTTGAGATGTCATACAGAGAAAGGCACTACATAACCAGGATTAGATTAATTCATATATGTAACTCTTACCTATTACAACAGCTACGGCTCCCAGTGCCAGTCCCAGAACCAGTATTAGGGGTGTAATGAGTAGTTTTCCAGCTGAAATGCAAAATTAATTAAATAGTTCAAAGAAGGTATTTTTTCCTTTCCAACAATTCATAAATATTTCAATATCAGGAATTATTTTAATCTGTTATTTTAAAAATAGTATTTTTTACCTCTATAAATATGATTTCTATTTGTAGTTTCATCCTACAAATTCAGCCAGGAGCTAATCACCACACAGCTCCCTAACAGACACACACTCCCTCTGACAGCTCCCTACACACATTTCTCTCTGCCCTCTTCACCCACCACAACTCTCTGAGCACAGCTTATTTCATACATTAACAGCTTGCATTTATTTCTGTTTCCATTCTGAAATCCCTCAAGCATTGACAGGAACGTGATAGCTATAAAGCTACCATAATTTGGCTTCTCTGGAATCCTACTGCACAGCAACCAGCCTGGAGAGATGCCAAGCAAACTAGCATCTTGGAAAGTTTAGGCTAGCTCAAGGTGATGAGACCATCACCTCTAAATACATTTCTGCTCTCTTTAAAAGGCTACAGTGAAGTGCTCATGTACAGCTGTGATTTAGGTCTGAGTCAAACCCCAGCCAAGTCTATTTCGGATCTACATTTATAAGGAGATGTTGTGGCTCTTACACGAGTAGTGCAGTGACATTGAGCAGCATACTTGCTAGAGCGTAAGAACAAGAACAAATAAAGCATGTTCATATTCTTTATTTCTGATGAGTTCATGATTTGTAGAAGTTCACAGAATGAAGGCAGGGGTCTTGCTGAAAAAGTGAATTTGAAACTGAACCAGAACCCAAGCTATCTTCCTTGCATTGCACACTTTGAATGGAAGAATCTCCCTGGCTCTGTTGGCTGAGCAGTCGAAGACATCAGTGGCTAAGTGGGTCAAAGACATCACTTAACTGAGCTGTTTGAAAATGTAGAAGGGGCAGGCATTTTTACTGATATACGAGCAGTTGCAGCAGGGACTTGAAATTCTGCAACTCTCCAAGTTACGTATGTGTTTGAAAGACCACCTCTAAAAGGGGAGAAAAATTGAGGTTGTTACTTCTCTCTTCCTTGTCCTTCCCTCTCTCAAATCACTCATATCAGATTTCAGTAAGTGGATTACTTCATTCAACAACGAAGTAATCATTTCCATAACCTGAGACACTAATTTGAGCAGTCTGAAGGAAAAATTAGATATTTTGGAAATATTTACAGCAGTTAAATGAACTGTTCTTTTTCTTGCCCTGCTTTAATAGCTTTTAAATTTCATTGGAGTGTTGAGGGTGGGAAACACTAATTCCTAGAAGAAAAAAAAAAAATTGTCAAATATTTGTATTACTCTAGTTGCTAGGCATCCTAATGGCATACCTTCCTGACTCCACTGAGCTATGTTCTATACACACAGAACTTGTCAAATACGTTATTCAAGTGTAGACAGAAAAATGAATGAAAAGTGATGGAAAATCTCAAGAAAGGTCCAAAAATAAGAAATTAAAAACATTTTAAAACATTACCAGAGCCTTCAACAATTTCAAGTGAAGCTTGTAAAAGATTAAAGGCTTAAGGTATGGACTGGACTCCTTACTTCATTAATAGCCATGTAATTAGAACACTAGAAAATTGTGATGTTTGGTACCAAAATTATTAAAAACTTAAATCACTGAGCTAGTGACTGAGTATGCAGGAACAGAGTCTATGGGAAGGGCTGAGCTAGCCTTTAATTGGAATAACTTCTTTTCAGACACAAAGAACAGTTCCTGAACTAATTCAAGAATTTGTTTACTTACATTTGACAAACTCAGAGCTGAAATAAAGCATGAGTAATGTCTTTCCTTCTGCCTGTGAATATGAAGTTACAAGTATTGTGTAGTTACAAGATCTTATAGAAAAAAATTACTTTTCATCATCATGAGACTGTATCTTCTTTTGGTTATCAATGCATTATTTTTAAAGATCAAATTTCAAAACAAATACTTTTTCTACTTGCATATCTGTCACATTTAAATCATTACTATTTCCTTATCTTTGTCCACTAAAACTAACAAACAACAAGAGGTGAACAAGGCTTGCAAATGTTGCCAACAGGAAGAGTACAAAGATCAGCAATCACAGGCAAAATAGTAGGTTATGGATTATTTGCTTCAGTAATTTTTATCTGCATTGTACAAAACAATTACAAAATGCTCAGTTTTACATGTCAGAATTTAAAACTACTTTATATCCAATTCCAGCTTGACAAACATAATTTGTAATAGTTCAAAGGATTATGAGGCTCTTAGTCATGGAGAGAATCATGACACACCAAGAAATGTCACTGAGACTAAGGATGCTTGCTGCAGGCACTACACTGTCCTACATCTGTTAGCTCCGACACAGAGCACAGAGAGCAAATGTAACACCTGCTTCAGAGCTGAATAAAATCTTGGGTCATTAGCCCATGTGGTGATCTCAGCAGTAGGTTATGACAGCCAGTTTGCTGTTATCCAAAGCTAGTTTTATGGGTAACTTAACAAAAAGAAATTGAAATAGAACATTTTTACAATTGCACTCAAATTAATGGGAAAACAATTTCCCTACTGGATAGTCCAGCATGAAGATGTAGACAACTGTGGTTGTATAACAACTGTATTTGCAGGTGTCCCAGAGAGGTTGCCTTGTTTGCGATATAGAGAACTACGTTTTTCTGCAAAATAACAAAGTATTTCAGGAAACATGAGGGAATACTTTTTCCTTGCCTAATTTTGGGTTTAGTTACAAGTTTTAGGATAATATATTCAAACCCCCATATATCCTTAGAGAATTCTTTGCCACATAAAAGATTAATAAATTAGTTTTATAATACAGATTTAATCACTAACATATGAGAAATACTAAATTTTACCTTTTAAGTCTAACTATCATAATAGTTTAAGCAGAGACAATAAAAATGTCTGCTTCAAATCAGAACAGCAGTATCTATGTAGACGTAAGTTCTAATCAAAGTCTGCATTTGTGTTTAAAGAGTCTAATCAAGCATATAGAGACAACTTCTTACAAGTCAGACCAACTAAAATATGAAGTTACTAATGAAGGTTAGATCACAGAATTGTATGCTGTCTCCTGTGAGGCTCAGAGCCATGCTTACATGTAGCGAACCTTGTGCTATGCTTGTGACAGGAGTAAACATCAGTCAGATCTGAAAACATCCTGCTTTCAGAATCCCATCTGAAATGCTGGTTACCAGGCAAGAAATGTTAACTTGCTTGAATAGCTTCACTACATCTTGTGTCTTGTTACAGATCCATGAAGTACCTAGCAATTGATTTTGAATACAATTCATCAACTGAATCCAGGTGGTATTCCAGTGGTGTCTTGAGTACACTTAAGTACACTTTTCCTTCCTGTATAATTCACCACTGACTCCAATTATAACCAACCATTCTGCTTTCAACAATTCAGCCAAACAATTGTAATGAGAATGAAACCTCTAAGTCTGCTGGGATGGAAGAGTAAGAACAATTGCAGTTGACTGTACTGGTCACAGGACAGTTTCTCTAAAAAACATGCTGGCTAAAGAAGGGAGAGAAATGTCAGACATCACTTTTGCTCCCAGGTTTCTCCCTGTGATTACTATTACTCTTACATAACATTACCTTTACATAACAGCTGGTTTATGAAAAGTATGTTCAAATTTATGGTGCCATAAAAGCTTTTCCCCTATTTTTACTGCAGAGCATTTTGTGACTGTATGCACTTGCTTCTCAACAGAAATCATGACAGCATGGCAGCCTGCCATGTGGTGATCTTTCGACAAATTCCACCTAGCCAGATTTTAGACACAACCCAAAAAACCCTTCACTCCACATGGCTACAAAGTCACATTTATTAAAGTATTTCTTCTCCATAGCAATAAAATAAAGTCATACAAAACCCCCACATATCTAGCAACACCTCACCAGTCTCCCACAGATAGCCAAGATAACATTCCTTTAATTTCCACTACTCAGCTAACTCACAGAGGCGTTTTTCTACAGGAAATCCAACCTTTGCTTCTTACTACATGGTAAAAGGCTATGCTTTTAATGGCATCTCTCCTACCATCTCTTCTGCTGACTTTCAGAACAGAACCAAAACCCAGGCTTGTGCAGTAACACCTGTTGATGATAATGCTCCTCTCATGCCTGATAAAGTATTTACATATTTATATTTACTGGGACTTTCCTGAGCCTGGGCTTGATCCCCAACTAGAATTCAACATTTTTGGGTTTTAAATTTGATCGTAAGTGATTAAGACCAGTAAGCTTGTGCTCAACACATAGAACACAAAAAAAAGAAAACAAATATCATGACAAAGTCGAATCTGACGGACAGTCTGTAAAAGAATGATATGAAAAGGCCAGCAAGCAATTATTATTTACTCAATTTCATGATAACAAAAGTAGCCAATGAAATTATTAGGAATCAATAAAAAAAACCCAGGACTTTCTCTACCTGACATAGTAAAATCTAGAGCCTCTACCAGAAATGTTGTGGAAGCCAAAATTCAAAAACTGTTAAAACTAGTGAAGGATCCATCCACTGAGGGTTATAAAGCAAAGGTTCAGATTTGCAAACCTTACTGAGAAAGCATCTAAAGCACTGATTACTGGAAAGAAACAGGGAGTGATATCTTATTTCTAACTGACCATTTCTGGGGACAGACTCACTAGGCAGACCTTTATACAAGCCAAATTAACAGCCACAGATCAATTCTGCTGAATTCTGTTTTACAAAGATAGATGACCCTAGCAAATTTCCAGCATTTAAAGTGGCAGAATCCACAAGTAAACTGTATCACAGTTTGTAATTATACCTTCTTCTAAAGGCCAGGAGGTACAGTCTTACAGCAATATAATGCATTTCTAAAAACAGATGTGAAAATCCACACATGCACTTGTGTGGAAAAAAGTACAAAAACCTAGACTGGCCCATACATCCAAGTCATAGTCAAAATCTACTGCAATGGAAGAAGAGCTGTGAGCTTAATTCCCAAATTCAAATCTGATGCAAATTTCTGAAGATTTTAATTTTTTATTTTCACATGTGAGTTCTGTTAGATCTCTGGAGTATTCTGGTAGTTATTCATAAAGTTCAATAAAGATCAATATTCAAATCTAGAGCTGTAGCGATGACAGATTTAGGGTCCTAAGTACTGATGAAGAATTCTTTGAATTATTGTCAACTTGAGTGTTAACAAGCTATTGTAAAAATGTGGGCAATTACTACAGGTGCTGATAGTGTCAGATACCTCTGTCTCTATTCAGATGAGGACCATTCTTGTGAGAAATCACATTACATGACAGAGGAAGTTTTGGAGAGAAATTTGTAATAAAAAAAACCTTAAAAGAAATATAATCTGAGGCTTTGAGCTTTGCTGATCTTTCTTGGTTTATTAATCAATGTAAACCACAAGTACACTTGCAAATAGGAGATGAAAATAAAAATATCTTATACCTTCTCTATGTGTGACCTTATAAATATGAGCACATATCTCCCATAGAGCTTTAATATCCAAGGTCAGGCTGAACAAGTCTCCGGGCAACCTGATTTAGTTGAAGATGCGCCTGCTCAATGCAAGCTGCCTTTAAAGGTCCCTCTCAGCCCAAACTATTCTATGTTTCTAATAAGGTTACCCATGATTCTGCATGTGAGCAGCACTGACCTGGTAATGTCTCAGAGTACAATCTGTTGCTACAGCAGAGACTAATTACACCAAATATAACAAGATCTATTTAAAAACAGCTTACTATTACTAAAAAGCCCGTCTGAAATATTACTAAGTGCTTTGAAACAGTTCTTGAAGTTTAAGCCTAAATTTATTAATGAATGTTTATATTCATGTGCCCTAATGCCAGCACTATCTTTCATCTAGACAAGATCTTCTCATGTGTTCATTCATCTCTACCAAATGTTTCAGAGTAGGCACCTCCAATCATTTTCAGTTTTCATCTCCTTTCTAGCTATTTCTGAATCTTTAAATCACTTCTCTCAAAGTTGGTTACCAAAGCCTTGCAAGCCCCTGAGATCAAACTAATGGACTTGGATGACACATTGTCACTTGTTTAAAACAAGCATTCCAGGTTTGTGCACCTGCCACAGTGCAGAGCAACGAGACTGTAATTTTTATTACCAGGTCTATGAGTTTGTATGTCAATTCTTACATCACTCTGGAAACCACCTAGTTTTCTTACTGGAACATGTCTGGCTCAGGAGTAATGTTTTCACCTCAGGTCTGCTTTTTCCCCCATATGTTCTATCTCTTGCCTTTACCCCTACAATTGAGCTCAAAGCATTTCCTCATCCTAGGGGAACTACAAGTCATCTCCATTTTTTTATGCCTTCATTCAAAGTATGAAAAGTTTTATTTTCCTTGATAGGTTCCCAGTTTTTGACAGTTAATACATCTATTTCCTGTAACATAGGTCACATCACATACTGTAAATTTACTACAATGAACTTCACATATATGAAAGACATCACAGAATATAATAGTCTACTTTATTATCTTGTGCTTCTGTACATTGAGACAGATATCTACCTGGCTCAAAAGCAAATTACTAGTGCTTTTTTGTTTAATAAAAAGACATTTTTGGTATCATACTTTTGTGAGCAAAATTAATGTATATAAGTTGTATTTTGTTTCAAGCTGATTTTATCTGAACTAAAGCTAACAGTTAAAGTAGTGCCCTCCTATTTATATGGGAAAACCTTGAGTTTTTAACTCAGATCAAGTTCAAATCCAAAGAGCACTTTATTCAAAGACTTACACCAAGGTAAATTTAATTAAGGTTCCTCCTCTGAGCCATTTCTCCAATATAATAATATATGAACACAGCCAGTGACATGCATATTGACAGCACTCTTCCAGTTTGCTTATGTATTATTAAAAAAAAATTAGGAAAAAAGCTATCAAATGAGGACACAACACTTAATCATACACAGTTCATCTAAAAAGGGAAAATGCCATATACTTAAACATACTTAATAGGCCACCTTCTGAATAACTGAAAAACAAGTTGCCCATCCAATCCTCTAAACCACTAGTTTTAATTTAACTGTAATTGCCCTATCCCCCCCAATCACTTCATTGTGCAGCTCTCCACAAGGAGCATTAATCCACTCACCACAGACAGAGCCTCGCACTAATCTCCTTAAATGTGGTCTCTCGGGGAGGTAGCGGTATTTGCATCCAAAGATACTGAGGTTTGACGTGTGATCTCCAAAGAAGCGGAGCTGGCGGTATCTCTCCCCACAACGGTAACAGAAATTAGTGTTACACTGTGAACAGGTCATGTGGTCACACCCTTCGGTTCTCTGAATGTGGATCTGTATGAGCAGAAGGAAAAAAAAAGAAATATTATTTTTCCCTCCTTCCTAAGCACAGGAAAGTGGCCACTACCAGGGGCAGTTCATGTGCCAGATGAAAGAAGCTGCAAGTAACCCCCTGCTAAATCAGCATTTGCATTAATTAATACTGCAGCTGGCTTAAGACAATAACGGTTTTCTGAGGCATGTTTCAGAGCATTAAATGTGAGTTCCATTGTTTCCAGATTCCCATTTCCTACCTAATCCTCCTGTTTTGTTTAAATACTCTTCATATCAGATGAGAATACTTGCCCTTACTGGAATTTTGGTTTTATTGCTGAGGTAAATGTGTTAGCACCAAACTTTATCAAAAATAAAAACAACACAGTGAATATAGTTATGAACTCTGTTTGACCCCTCCACAGATGGGTTTCCTTCTTAGGCCACCTGTGGCTTCACTCCCTTTTCCATCACAAATTGATTTGGCATTTTGTAATAAACACCAGAGAGACACTGCTGTTACAGTGCGTGATTTGAGAAATATGGATGCTTTTTCATTCTTAAAGAAAAAAAAAATCCACAAACTATAAAACTGTATGTGGAATAAAAAAATCATACCAAGCTTTCATGATACCCACAGTACAGCATCAAACAGGGCTGCCCCAGTTCTACAGCCATCTTTCTACTGATTGCCTGCATAAATAGTTCCTCATCCTGCATTCAAAGACCACATTCCACAGTGGAATGATAGATAGGCTAATAACTGAGGTTGCAAGTGATGCTCAAGGGTCATCTATTTTAACCCCTAACTCCAAGCTGGGATAACTCCAGCTAGATCAGGTTGCTTCAGGTCTCATCCCACTAGATTTAAAAAATTTCCAAGCATGGGTATGTCACAGCCTCTTTGAGCAATCACCATGCTTCACCATCCTCCCTGGGAATACTTCTTTCCATTACATACAATTTGAGTTTCACCTGTTGAAAATTGCAACAGATAAATCCGTGCCTCCTGAAACTCTTATATTTACCTACACATATTTTTTTTTGCGGGGAGGTACAGGCAAAGACATGGCACGACGACTTGGTGACCCTACAAGCCAGAGACACTGAAAGCTCAGGAAGCTCCAGAGAAGCTCATGACTCCTGGGCTATCCAACATTCTTGAGAGGGTCACATGCATTTGTTCTTTGGTATTGATCGGGGTGATCTGGGCTCTCACTTTGCTCACCCAAACATCTACCGAAACTGGCACTTCATACATGTAACAAAGTGGTGCTTTCCACCTGCAGTACTCCTGGTGAAAGAGTTACAAAGGTAACAGTAGTTCCAGATACACTTGCCAGCATCCCTGTGCCACAGTAGCGATCTCAGGATTTGCATTTCTATGCTTTCAAATGCTGCTTTCATACAAAAGAGGGGAAAGACATTCACAAAAGATAGAACTGTGCTATTAAAAACAATGCTTTCTAGTGGGCAAGTATTCTAGTAGACTTAAAATTTGTCTGATCAAGCAAACACCCTCCCCTACCCCTAGGAATTCTGTTGTATTACAGGTGTCTGTTTTCCAAAAGCACCTGAATAAACACCATTGCTGACGAGCTTTATAAGCCCCCTGACTTCAAAACTTTCACAGTTAAGCACTGACAGCAGGCAAAGTGGAAAGAGAAATCTACCCAAGAAGCATAACTTAAAAAGATATACACTGTTTTTTTTTTTTTAAAAAAGGGACATTACATTGTCAGTTCAACTTCTGACATCTCAGGTTACATGTGAAAAAAAATGTTGACCCCACTTATGGAGCCATTGTTTATTTACTGTAATTTCTCAGATTAACTTGAGCTGAAATGAAGGAATTTTAATAGCAACTTAAAGTGTTTTGACAAATTAACTTTAAAATTTATTTTTAATTAATTTTTCAAGGGACAATCTCACACAAACTATTACAGACTTTTGTAATTTAAAGGGTAATTGTCCTCATCTGCTGATTCTATCTTAAAAACGTAAATGAGGGAACTAGATATTGTGACTAATGAGAATTAACTGGTTGCTTTATTCTCTTTTTGAATTAAGACTGTTGAAGTCTCCTCTCTCTTCTCTAATGTATGAACCCAATTAAGTTACCATTCATCCTTGTAATTCTGTATAATCCTGGACTCTATAAAAATCCTAAATGCAAACCAAAATTACTTCACATTTCAAAAATAAGTTAATTTTTATTGGTAGTAAGAACTTCAAGGACATGCTAGCAATAGCCTTTTATGTTCTACTGTTCATATCTTTCAGAAATATCCACCTCATAGAAACTGCCTGCCATCCTTCTACCCATGCTTTCCTAGGAGCCTCCCAGCTCCAGTTAAGTCATGCATTACTCCTGAGCAGTTTGTCAATCTACTTGTTTCTGCCCTAAATTCTCCAGACATACTGTCCTCTTGAAACATAAAAGAAGCTGATAAGGATTTATTTTCTTACAGACAACTACTGTAACCACATGCACTTCATGTTTGCTTCTTCAAAAAGCAAACCATAAAAATATTTTAGTCAATACTCATCTGCACATATAACCACCTTCAAATGCTGTAAATCTGGAACAACCGGCTGTACTCGCCTATACCTTTTTATTGCAAAAACTTTCCTTTTTTCCAGTGAGTAAAGACTTGATTAAAAAAACAAAGTAAAAACCCCCACAAACCTTAGATGCAGGGCTGGACTCCCTATCACATGTTTTGCAGACTGACAATGCCAGGTGAACTTTGTACCATTTGGTCAGGCTGCTTTCAAAGCTAAGACATGACATCTCAGCAGATCAGCTTCATCTCCGGTTCACATGGGCATGACTCCGTGCCCTCCAGATAATCCACTGACAGAGATGGATTACAAATCTATAGGTTGAGAAAGCAATCGCCGATGGCTCAGATATCTATCACGAGTGTTCCTGCTCCACTGACAGCGCCACGGCGCAGCCGGGGGAATGCGAGGGGCCGGGAATGCCGCTGGCTGTGGGAAGCTGCGGCCCTGTGGGGCCCAGTGCCATGTGGCTGCAGGCTCCCCTGTAGCACGGCAACTGCAAGCCCAGTTTCTGCCTCCATGCATTCAGTCAAAGCTACAGGCTTCATCCCTCACCCACGGCTTGTTCAAAACCAAAGATGTACACTCACCTTACAGGGGAAGGTTTAGCTGTTCAGAAACCCAACAGTAACTTCCAGAACAACAGGAGTGAAAACTACACACCAAGGGCAAACACATCCAGTTCAGAGTCTTAAGTAGACAACTGCAGTAGCACAGTGGCTATTTCAGACCCTCATTTTACTCCCTCTACATGTTACATGCCCTCTCATAGAAATCTTCTAGAAAAATCACTGCCAAGAGTTCTGAGGATAACTGGCTACATATACTCTACCCCTAAAGAAAACCTGCACAGCTTTATCCCTTTGTATACAAATAAAGACTCTCTTCCCTCCAGAGGATGACAATTAATTAATTAATGCAGAGTGCTTCCAAAAACTATGCCTTGAATTATTTGATAATGCTTATATGAATCAGAACAGATAATAAGTACACACTCCTTTATTTGCATTGACATGCTTGTTCTTAAATTTCTGCTGCCGTTCAAAGCCTTCTAAGATGGAGCTGCTATGTGGTGTTTCCTCAGATAGTGCTGCATTTGAAATCTGTGCTAAGGTAACACCAACATGGAGTATTTCCTTGGTTTGCTGTATTGTAAAAACACTTGTGGAAAGAAAAGCACTTTGTTGTAAACATACCAAGAAATTGTAAAAAAATAACTCCTTAAAACCGTACTGAGGAAAGACAAGTAATGTTATAGATTTTGGCAAATGGCATCCAGTAACATGCAGCAAATTTGCACTTATTAGCCAACTTGCTCTAGAACAAGACCAGCATTTTTTGGACACATCTTGTTGAGAAAAATGGTCTAAACTGACTCTCAAAATAGTGTATAGTACATTTGGAAAAGGCTCTATTAAAAAAAAAAAAAAGTCAAAATAAATTTAAGATACAGTTTAAAAAAAGTAGCATTTTTTCACATTTCCATACTGACACACAGTCACAACATGAATCTAAAACTAAGCATTTGGACAGTGTGTAACATTTTTATTATCTTATGTAAACACATCTTGGAGAGACCAGGTAAATAAAAGCTCTTCCTATTAGATGCACTAAAGCTGTATCCAACTTCAGGAAAAAGTAATCAAGTTGAAGCTTATCTAACAGTCCCCGCTATATTTGCATTACAAAGGATTATGTTCTTACAAATCACTTACCCAAACCAATATGAAATACTCATATTTGCCTGAGGATCTGCCTCTGTATACACATACCCTGTAAGTGTGTTTAGATTTTCTCACCTGCATGCCCAGACAAGATAATGCATTTGATTTCTCCATGGTACAACTAAAAAGAGTCTGAGTGTATGTGTCTGTGTGTATAAATAATTATCTCCAGAAGCTATCTGTAAAATATGGTCACAGTTTACACTGTAATCAGTATCACACTTAGGAAGTTAACAGTAAGTTTACATATTTCTTCAGTAAAGAAACTGTACCTCTAACTTAAGTTTCTACCTTTAACTTCCATTAATTTCAGCTTTAGTGTAAAAGTGAAATACTAATATATTTAGGCACAATTTGACTTTCCCGTAATCTGTTTTCCAACTTTGGATGCCATAAATTTTCAACCAAAATATGAAAGAGGTTAAAAATAAAGTATGTTTTCACCTGAAACACTGCCTCTGTGGACCTAGAACATGGCTAAATCAAATAATACTGTGTTACTAATTATTTTCTCTGTCACTATTTATTTTATTTGGAAATAGGATTATCATCTGATTCAATATTATTTCATATACAGGTCTTGGAGGGAGGGATGAATGGGAGAGAAAGGCAGAGAAGTATTAGATCTAATCCCCCTGACTTCAAATTGTTACCTGTCAGAACGCTTATCCCCACATGCCAAACACCTACTAAAGATGAGATGAAGAATACTGCTTAAGATATATTTTTTTAACGACTCAAAGATGTATTTTTTCAACTAACTGCCAGCCAAGTGGTACTTTTGATTACTTGCAGGTTATAGATCTGACTTAAAAATAAACAGTATGTTGAGAGAAACATTTTTGAGATTGTAAGCAGAAAACTTTTTTTTACCTCTGAAGAAAAATAGTATCAAGTCAGGGTAACAACACAGTTTAATAAAAGGTTGAATTCCTTCTTCGATATTCAATTACATGCTACATTACCAGGACAGACTTAACAGAGGTCCTTTTTCTGTGCTAGTTTCTTAAGTTTCCATACTGCCTCTCACCATGTAGGAGGTTTTATTTTTCTTTGATTAAGAAAAGAAACCTCAAGTATTTTTTAAATTAGCAGCCAAACTCATGCAACTCCATGCTTCAGAATTAGTAACAAGCCCTGTAAGTTTCAAGCATCCAGCCTTTTCTTTTGGAGATGGTAAAAAGACTTGAATATTTAAACCTGGCATTTTAAAATTTAACTTATTCAGGTTAAGTTCAGGCTAAATGTTAGACTTAGCAGTTTTAGTTCTCTTTCCAGCTTAAGATCTTGCCTTCTTACCACTCCCTGTTTTTCCACATTCATATTTTTTTGCTTGGTCCACTTTCTTAATTTTTTGGACAATTTATTTCAAGTTACATAATTCCATTGTCATAAACGTGAACCATGTCCTGAACCTGGACACAAGTCAAACAACTAAAATCAAAACACATACTTCTTCCCACTCCAAAAAGGAACTAAGTATTTTACTTTAAGACTTCCCAGAAAGTGAACATTTTTAGAACTGACTCAAACCTAACAACTCTTACCAAAAAGCAAGCTGCAAAAACTCTTATTAGGTCACACATGTGCAGGAAGAAGGGTAAACAACCAGATGCTGATTTCCAAGCTTTCCAATTTTCGTCAGTGTTTTGAAGTCTTTCAATTTCAAGCTATGGCATCACAGGCATTTCTTTCTCAAAGACCAAAATATGATACTTAATAAACTGATGAACATTTTCTTATTTGCACAGTGTAAGGCTCAAAGTGTGACATATACTTTGTATGTTTATAAGTAATAATCTTCCCATTCAATATCCATTTTCTACGAAACAGTGCAGCTTTGACTTACTACTCTGTTGGTAGCTGTGAAAAAAACAGTAAACAATTTAAGAGCAGCCTTCACTAAGGGCAACTGCAGCAGGGGTGTGCAGGGTTGTTGCCTGCCATTTGAGTAATGGGAAATACTTCTCATTTCTTTGAGGGGATCAATGAGATTTTTAGGGTGTTGAGCTGCATTTCAGTGCTGAGTAATGAGAAAGACTTCAGAGAATCATCTAGGTTGGAAAAGACCTTTGAGACCATGAACTTCTGCCTTTGATCACCACCTTGCCACCTGACCATATCACTGTCACATGCAGTCATTTCTTGAACACCTCTACGGCTGGTGACTCCATCACCTCCCTGGCAGCCCATTCCAATGTTTAACAATCCTTTCTGCAAGGAAATTCCTCCTGATGTCCAGCCTGAACTTCCCCTGGTGCAGCTTCGTGCTATGCCCTCTTGTCCTGTCACTGGTTGCCTGGGAGAAGAGGCCAACCCTCACCTGGCTACAGCCTCCTTTCAGGCAGTTGTAGGAAATGAAAAGGTCCCCCCTGAGCCTCCTTTTCTCCAGGCTAAAAAGGAGACTCAGGGGGGACCTCAGCCACTCCTCACAGGACTTGTGCTCCAGACCCTTCATCAGCTCTGTTGCCCTCCTCTGGACTCACTCCAGCACCTCAACATCCTTCTTGAAGTGAAGGGCCCCTAACTGGACACGGCACTCAAGGTGCGGCCTGTGAAGTCTCACCTTGAGGTACAGCTTGTGAAGATGTAACATTCGATCCTACAATTAGAGTTTTGCCAAGTCTCAGTTTCCCTTAACTAACTTGTTGACTGAGTATTTCCAGCCTTACTCAGACATTGAATATAATCAAACTCTCTGGAAAACCTGAAAAAGGGCACTGTATTTCCCTAGAGCTTTACATTTCTTTAAAGCTTTATTATAGGACTAATTCATTCTGTAATTAATTAACTCAAACATTTCTATGATTCTAAGCATACATCAAAGCCCCTTCTTAGTAATTTCCATAATATTTCTTTTACCTGCAGACATTCTGCAGAATCAGTGCAGGAACCAGCAAAAAAATCCGACCTGTTTTTCTCAATGGGTCATTAACAAGAAACTGCACAACAAGTGTGAATTTCATTTCCAATGCTGAGCAGAAGCTACAAATTCTCATTTAAAGAAAAAAAAAAATTAAATGTATATTTCAACAGTTTGAAGCCACTACCTGCAAGCCAAGGGAGAGCAGCTCACCTTGCATTTTGGACACTTCTGGGCATTCCTCTGCCCGTGTTCGATTTCGTTGGCCCAGTGACGTAACAGCTTGTCTCCCTTCTTGTATTCTTTGCAGTTAACGCCTTCATGCCAGGGAGAGTGGCACTTGAAACACCAGACAAATTGGCAAGACGGACACTGGATCTGTATAAATGAGAAAACACCACACATTTGCAAGCTGGGTGCTGATACAACTAGAAAGCCTGTTTTAAAACCACTGCTCTTCAACTGAGAGAGCAGGTGCCCAGCAAAGATCTAACATCTTCTGGAGGCTCTGTTTTAAAAACATGAGAGGTTGTGGAAGTTAGCTTGTTCTTTTCATTTTTAAACAAGAGAAAATACAGAATTGTTAAAGTTGGGAAAGGCCTCAATCAAATGAAGGACAAGTAGCTTGATTAAATCACAGGCACTATTTCCCACAGTGATTGTGTGCCTCAACTGACAAAAGGCAGAATCCAGAAAGCTTATTTAATTGCCTCCAATACATTTGGGAGAACACCTAAAAATTAGCTGACAGTTTTCAGTGCAGTGGATCTGTCTTTTTCTAGGAATAAACTGCACTGCCAAGGCTATTACAGAAAGTACTTGGTCTTCTGAAGGGCTCTACAGAATTCAGAATGGGTTATGAAGCTTATATTAGAAATGGTCCTGGGAAAAGGGGCCATGAGCAAGGCTCTCATCCAAGAGCCACAACTACCAACAGGAAGTCAGGCACCTCCTTTTGCTCTTGATTGCGTCAAGGCAAGCTGAGACTGTGCCAAACAGCCCACTTGCTACAGACCACACCTAATGGTAAAACCACAAGCCATATTCAAATTGAGAAAGGATCTGTTCTTTCCACTCACTCAGTTTTAAATCATTGTGTCAAACAGGTACCATCGTCATCACGTCCTCTTCCAGAGCCTGCTTATTTTTTTTTATGAAAAGCTAAGACAGCTGTTGTGTTTGCAGGAGTCATAAACAGAGGCACATTGCAGCTGCTTATCTGACAAAAGACAGGCCTCCAACCTGGATCACAACTAAGGAAAGCAAGAACTAGAAGCCACGTTGGACTCAGGCACATCCAGGCTCCTGCAACATGTTCACTTCTGCTGTGTTTGGCAGCAAAACATCTCAGCCTCTCAAGCAACTGCTGAGCCCTGCCCACCATCTCCAGCCGCAGTCCATGTCTGGCACTGCCCTGGCTTTGTACCCAGCTGATGGATGGGACTAAGGAATTCAACCAGCCAAACCAAGGGTTTTTGGTTATATCTGTGTCCAGACTTGGTTCACCACCAAACCACAGAAACATCTGTGCTGACCATGCATGGTGTGGGGGTGCTTCTCAGGAAAATACATCCTGGAGTGTAGTCACATGTGAAATCCCTGAAACACATTTCTCAACTTCTCACTCCCACCAGCTGCTGTGCCCTCCTGTTGAGTCATGACAACTGGTGTTATGCTTCCTTGACTACAATTAAGAACCCAAAGTAGGTGCTCTGATCTCCCTTACATATTTTGCTGGGGCTAGCCAGAATTATTTACACATACAATCACTACATCTTGTTTAAAGGGAAACAACACATTAGGACTGAAACATGTGCATTACAAACATTTTTAGTTTTTACCTGAAAACTTGTCCAAGGCCATGATAAAGTATAAAACAAAAGCAATACAAAATAGCAGTCTCAAATTTAATGAGCCAGTGGCCAAGACACTGAATCAATGAAAATACACTAACCTGCATCTCTGCTTCCCAGATGAATTCTCCTAATAAAACCAGTTTAACAGAAAGGAAATTTCCTCCTCTGAGGAACCTAAAGAATGAATATATATGTTGCTACTAACCAAACTAACACAGAGCACTGGTTGTTTCCAATACTTTAAAATACTTCTCCAATACTTTAAAACCCAGCAGGCACAAAACACTCATCTAACCTATCCAAACTCGTATCTCCAGATCTTTCTTTTTTTTCTTTTTCTTCCCCATTCCCTCCCAGCACTGAATTTATGTCTTTGAACAACACATGTGACAGTGTCCTACTGCTGGGAAGACAGATTATAGAGTACATCATATTGTAGGGCTCCATATTTGTTATGTCTCAACCAAAGATGCAGCTTGTAGCCACAAGTAAGTGTTCTACAACCTGAAAACTTTTATTAGCTGCAGTATTCAGACATTTGAGGTGTTGAAAAGGTGGTTAAAAAGTACAAACCCAAATCAACAGGTCAGGAAGCCGCAAGTTAAAGCTTCTTCCTTAAAAGAAAGGCAGCATTAATTCAAAACACAAATTCTGTGGGTTTGTTTTATGATGAATATGTGACACATCAATTGCATACTCAATCTTTCTATTGTAGCATGTACATAAGTGAAAGCAATACAGCAGCCACCAGGATACATATTTAAACTTACACACGCACACTGACATCAGGTGTTTCCAAACATATTAATCAGAAAGTACTGAAGTACAGGATGAGGCTATAACCGCAGGAACTAAAAATAACATTTCTTACCACAAATGGCCCTAACTGAACTAGTGAGAACTCTATGTTTCACTACCAGTTTCCTCTTCCACCTGTCACCCAGACAGCACCTTCCTCAGAACTGAACTTGTAAATAGTTTTTATATTTCAAATGGGCCATTTCACTTCTCTGTGGGTTCAATGCTTCCTGAGCATAACTGAAGCAAGCAAAGAAAACTATGTCCTTTAAGTAGTTATGAACCTTATTTTTCTTGGAACTAGTGGCTGCAAAACAAACCCCTAAAACCATTCAAACTTGGATGCAGTGTAATGCCCCTGTGCTTAAGAAACAGAGCAATTACAGCAGTCGTTCACATTCTTATTCCATTTTTTCTCTGCTTTTCTGAAAGAAAAGTCAAATATTATTTGATTCATGCTTCAGTATTTATGTATGGAATCACCGTGGCAAGGACACAAATGCTACCTACATATGATTTTAAACCAGTAAAATATATTATAGTCCAGTAAAGCAGACAAACTATATCTGCAAAACAAAACCTTAACCTTGTGTTTTTTCAAATACATTCTCACACAAACATTTTCCCACTTATTTTATGATTTCTCTTTCTGTTGATTAGAATTGAGAGGATGGATATATACACAAACTTCTATGACATCTGGAGATCAGCCACCCTTGAAACAGAAAAGATTGCACAACTTGGTGTTCTAACTCTCTTGGTGCTCAGCTTTCTGAAACACCGACCTTTGAGGCTAGCATTTTCCATTTTCTTAGCAAGCCTCTCTACTGCAAGCTACTTTCAGTTTCTTCACCTCACAGGAAAAGACTTTCCAAGACTGATAGATAATTTCAACACAAAATCACAACTCAATGTGACCTGATGATAGCAAAACTGACTGCGCATGAGAAATACTCCTGGAACCTGACAGTACAAAAAGCTTAGAGAGATTTTTTGCTGCTTGGTGGAATGGTAGCTATATAACATGATGGCCAAATTAACTATGCAATTAACTGATTACATGAATTACAGTCTCTAGCTGCAGATACTGCCACTTTATTTGAAAATAAATATGGGCTCCAGCCAAAACAGCTTCCTTTTCCTTCTCCTCATCATCAACCCATCCCCTCTCTTGAAATAGCTGAATATAAGCAACAACAAAACAAACAAATTTTGTACCCCCATTAGGGCTGGTCTTTGATCCAGCTCCCCGTGTGACACCAAAACATCAACATAAGCAAAAGCAGGCTGGCAGGAATGAACAGCTGGGAGCAAGGAGCGAGAGCACAGCAAAATCATCACATCAGCAGCAGCTGAGGCTCAAGGTAGACTGAAGTGATGTATAGCCATGAAGGTATCTGCTACTTAAAACCTGATCCAAAAGTGTGGAGCTAACAGTTCTATCACAGCATCTCTTCTGGTACAAATTCCAGCTAGTTCTAGAACAACTTTCAGCAACTCTTCAGTAGTTAAAAAAACAGTTCGTGTAACAACTGCATTGAAAAAACATTTACATTTGCAAACCCAAGCACTCAAGTCCTCCTTTTATGTGACATGTATCTCTTGACAAAAGTGAACAAGAAAACTACATTATGAATCTCACAGAGCAGAGTATTGTTTCTCCATGGCAAGTGGCAAGTCAAAAAACTAACAGGCAAAAGCCAGACCTTCCTCACAGAACAAGTCTTCATACTCTTGTGAAACTTTTACCTGTTACATGTACAGGAACTCAACCAGCAATTTTTCAATTTTTGCCCACTTCCATTGCACTTTGCATAATAGCTCTGAACAGAGATTTGTTAGGGTCTTGTCTGCAACCACATTACACTCAATTCAGGACGTATGAGACGGGGCAAGGAAATTCTCAGCACTAATGCTGGATCTATTTGTGAAAAAAAATATTTTATATAGAAAATTAAATAGTTCTCTTTTTGTTCTGTGTGGCCCTAAGTGTCATGGCATACTAATGGTAGAAGAAAGGTTTGGCTAGCAAGTTCTTCTTTTCTTCCCCTTGTTCTTCCTCAACACACATGTTAACTTTCTAGGCTTAGAACACTAAGACTTGAATCTCAGCAAATTGAACTTCTGGACCTAGATCAGCTTAGCTGACACAAATCAGCTATAATGAGAATCATTTATAACTTTGCTGCCTCTTTAAATTTCTATGTTATGTGTAATTTTAATACTGTATCAAATTTTAGAAATGGCATTAACATTTTTAAAGTATCAGTTCAAATGAAGTCCTGGATTTCAGAGTGCTTTCCCCTTGCAGTGTGTTAAAGAGTGAGTGTACTGTGATCCTACCAGCAGGCTTGTGCATTCGTGTTCCCCACACGACTCGGTTCCCTTGAAGCCAACACTCGCAGTGCTGGTGCAGAATTCATCTGGTGCAATTGCTGTTATATTACTTGCATGTGAACAGGGCAGCCTCAAAAGCCTCCAGTCAGGTGTCTCCTATGCTATACACAAAATAAAATGTGTCTTTGCCTCCAAACAGCCTAAAATGCAAGACAAAATGTTTACATGTAATTACACGGGAACCTAAGAAAAGGGATAATACTGGTCCCACAGCTATGTATGTGTGTATGTAAATTACCACAGACTCCATGTCACATATAGTCATCTTTTTAAACCTTCTTCCTGCAACAAAACTTCTCCTTGTGCTAAGCTTAAGATAAATAAAACTGTACCTACACTGGAAAACAGTTGAGGTTCAATGAGTAGGCTGAAGCCCTGTGGACCATGACCATCCATACTGCTTGCCAGCATTTTCCCAATTATATTTCTGACTAGCATCAACTAGACATTCTTGCACACAACACCTGGGCTCAGCTCAAAGGATACATTTTGCCAGTCTGTTGCCAGGAGATTTAAGCTCTGCAGGTACACACACTGAACCACCACACGACCAACGAACCGTTCCTGGCTTGCACTGTGCATCACAGTCTCCCATTCCTTCCCATTGTAGTTTGTAGGGCAGTTGGGAACATTTTTACTGTAGCATCTTAACTCAAAAGAACACTGGTTATGCCCTGAGGAATGTTCTTAGGTCTGGAAGACTTGTGACAGAACAGCTGCACTACCAATGACCCACACTTGTGTGACACTAACAGCCGCTGACACCTTAAAAGAGATGGCTACCAAAGCATTACAAGCCCTCATCTACCCTGGATTACATCTGATGTGTGGTGATGATGAAGCAGATGGGTGAAGGAGAATAGCTTTGGGCAGAAGGAATTTTACTTGCAGTTTCAAATTTTTTCCAACTCAATGTAAGATGACAGAAATTTGAAAACACTACATCCGACAGACATGTAAATTCATGCCCTACACAGATATGCACAAATAACTCATAACTCAGAATTAACTTTATCGACTTTTCAACTCCAATGAATACACAACCTTCCACCTTTTAATCTTCATCCTGGACTGAATCTTATGCTGTGTAATTCGGGCTATCTAAACAGTCATCTCAACTCCTACTGAGGAGAACTGGTTTGTCCAGGAAAGGCCAGCTCAATCATGAAATTAACCACAACAAATCTAATAACCGGATGGAAAACTATCACAGAACATGGTGCTGCAGACAACTGTTGTCTTCTGGAACTCAGATGGACTTTCAGCACCTCAGAGCTTACTCTAAATTCTTGCTTTTTATCTTTGATTAAAATCACAGTATAAGCAACTCTTCTATGAAAAGAAATGCTGTAGAAATGTTTTTTCCCACCCCTCTATCTCACAAAGTTCTGCATTGTGAATTATGAGACTACAGTACTGTATAACCTCTGGTAAGGGAATGAAGAAATCAGAATCAACAAGCAGGACAGAAAACAGCACTATTACTAAGGAAGAAGCAAAGCCAACAGCCTATTGTGAATGCCCAGAACTCACCCAGAGTTTCAGGGAAAACTTAAAAGTTGTGTGTTTAAAAATATCAGTTATAGTGGTAACTCCCCTTTCCTTGTGTCTTCTGACTGTAACCATAGTGTTTGCATGTCAGAAAGAAAATACTCTTTAAATTAAAATGTATGTCAGGACAAAATTATGCCACCTACCAAAAAAAATACACACTGAAGAGTTCAACTGCTTAAACTGTTATAAGTCAATTAAGTACTTAATCAGTGATGTACTACAGGTTTATATTCCTAATCACAGCCTGCATACAGCTCCAGTGAAACAAAAAAGTTCATTTAATGCTCACCAAATGCTGTCCTATTTTTGCAGTGCCATCTAACCCACAGCCCCGGCAAGCATGCTCACTTTGTATTTGTTCTCCAATTTGGCAGGGGTTGGAATGTGGCCTCTCCTCCGGAAGGTTGTAAAGTGCTTGCACTGAGGGCATGGCTTGGTGCTGGAGTCAATGCGGCTGAGTTCCAGGAAGTATTTATACTTGATGATGTCGTCGTGGGGCAGGTTATAGAGGACAGTTGTTTCATCCAGGTGTTCGCTGCACTCTGTGATGGGGCATTTGATATCCGCTTGTCCCAGCTGCACCTGTGCATGAAAAAAAAAAATAGAGCTGTATGAACTTTTGCTTGGAAAAGTTAAGCAAGCATTGGTGAATTCTGTGAGGAAAATTAACGTCAAATACCGTAACAATCCAGAGACTACCTAGCATATTGTCTTTAAATTATTTAATTTGTGCTTGGTGAAGTTACACCAAGCACACTACAATTTTTCCAGGGAACATTTTCAAATCCAAACAGAAAAATGAATTACCCTGACAACTGCAGTTATTAAGCATGTTCTCTCGGTGTATGTACCATGGCTACATACACCACAAAATCAAATACAAGTCCTAACTAACAGCATCTACCCAGTACTCCATACTTTGGGTGTAATGGTCAGCGCACTGCAGTCCTGGCTCATAATGGCTGTGAGAAAGCAGACAATAGAAACGTTTACATACTGTTTCACTGCAAAATGACCTGGGAATCACAGCACAGAGAAATTAAAAGTCAACTGAGTATCAGCAGCTCTGACTCAGGAACCCTGAGCTGGTTCCTGCTCAGTACACTCAGTGCCTTTGGAGTCTGCTTTCAAGAAGCTCCTTACATGTCATACCGCATGCAGAAACTTTTAGTTGATCTTGGGGCTGATCAAGCTAAGAATATACCCCAGAGCTCAAGAGTTAAAAGTTTTAAAAAAAACACACCCCAACATGATGAAAAAGCCTTAATAAAAACCAAACTAAAATCAGACAAACAAACAAGCTTAAGGTTAACAGGGCAGAAACTGTTACTGATCTAATGAGTCCTGATAGTCCCAAGCGGATCCGTATGTTCGGATATCCACAATGTGTTTCTAGAGCTCCTGGATCCAAGAACTGCACTGGACCCAGATCTACACCCCTCATACTTGGCAGCCTTTAACTGCTCGGACTCCATGCCAAAACAGCCGATCCTACTTGGTCTGGGAACACCAGAGCTGCATCTGCTTGGCAGTGAGCCCAAGTTAATAAACCCTGCTGGATCTTGAGAGTCTACAAGGACCCAGCTAGAGCATGTTTGTATCTGCCACAAGTAATCCTGAGAGTGAGTTTTGACTGCACAAGTACAGCTGACAACCAATTCAACTCCTTCCTTCCTTCCCTATCTCCATGAAGAGAAAAAGAGTGCAACCAGCATCTCTTTCCAGGAATTACTATTTAAAGGCTGGCAAGTTTGATTTCCCCACACTGCTTATTCTTTAACATGCTCAATTAGAGAAACCTGCCAAACAATACACTAAATAAGACAAATGCCTCAGATTTGGATGCAGATCTTGTTGTTGCTTAGTGGTACCAGAAGACACAAAGACCCCACCAGTGCAGTATTTAAGCTAAAAAAGGAGGGAAAAGCCCTAAAGAGCAACACAACGCAACCCTGAGCCACATGGACTCTGAGTGATAATTCAGTCAGGAACCAGAGGATTAGAAAAGTCATAACAGCATGGTATCAAACCCAAGGTTTATACTGTTTTCAAAAAAATTCCTACTGCATTACTTCTGTTCCCTCAGCAACATAAAAACTCAGGAGCGCAAAGAGATTAAGTGTATGTTAGAGACAGAAATGCAGGGTGTGGGCAGAGGCAGCAAGTCAGACCAGAGCATGGTGGAGAACACCTCAGCAACTTATCACTGCCACGCTGCTCTGAGCAGCCTTGGCTCAAGGCACAGGCAGGTCAGGATGGAGGCAAATCTCTCTGCAGTCTGGAGGAGAGGCAGCTCCTCAGAATACACCCATTCTTAGGAGGGAAATTCCCCACATTTCATTTCCAGCTCTAAAAGATGGGCAGAGCTCTGCCACATGCAAACAACGCCAGGCTTAGTCTGGCTTTTATATGGACAAGATTAAGTACAGGAGGAGTATGTACTCAAAGGCATTAAAAAAACACAGAACAAAAAAAAATCTCCCAAACCTCACATACTACATGCTGGGGAACACCAACATTTTATACCTGTAGAACTCTGATTCACCTGTAGCAGCATGTAAAATTGAAACCGAGCGTACTGACCACTGGACTGTTCTCAGAAGAATCACCCAGTGCATCAAGGAGATGTACTTAAAAGGCAGATGACAATCAGTACAGCACTACAGAGCACAAGCACACTGCACTAAGAGAAAAATTTGTTGTAGAAACACAAAAAGCTATTGCACCAGGATTAGCATCAGCTTTTGTACAGACAAGTATAGGTACACTTTAGAACCGAATAGTGAAATTAATCCCACCTATGACTACATCATTAAAAAAAAAAAAAAAAAAAGCATTAGGGAGTTATTAAAAGAGCCATATCTTTTTGCCAGGAGTAAACTAAGCTACAATGGAGTAGCACTACATGATGAAGGTGTATTGTATCTGACAGTACTTAAGCATTGCTTATATTAAATGCTAGTTAGAACAAACCTGCGTTTATAAAACCAAGGAATAAAAAGCTCAACATTTTCTGCACTTCATGCCCACACAGAATATGATTAATATATGTGGTAAGAATCAGGTGTGGTTTCAGTGTTTATTTTGAAAATATGTTTTACACCCACTTGAAATAAATAATCTTTAACCTCTGTAATAGTTTCAGCTTGTCAAGTTTGGCAAAGCCTAAGCCTTTCCCTGTGTTTTGAATAGGACTGAAGTGAACAGAGCTGGCTTGCTTATTAGCAGTAACTTCAATGGAGCCTTGTCCTACCAAAACAGTCCATCTTTGTGCACTAGCATCAGCAACTGATGGAAGTATCGCTTTAGAGGTAGCCTGTCAGGCTACCTGCTGCTGTAGGCTCATGACATGCTACAGAATGAGAAAGGAAAAAACAAAATCAAACAATCTCTTATGACATTGGTACAAATAATTAGTATTATTTTTTTCCTTCATTTTCTTTTTAAGAGCCTTCTCCTTTCAATATCAGCTTCTCACAATGTCAAACACCCAAGTTTTAAGAAAACCACTGTGTATTAAGAACTTCAGAACCTTCAGTATACAGAATAGCATAGTGTACTCTCACAGCATGAGGAAGGACTTATGTCTAAGAGGAGCTGAGCTGCAGCAGTGTTAAATGTCAGGCAGCATCCTGCTCTTATACTCAGTTGTGCTTCACTTCTGTAAAGCCTCTCAGGAGGGGCTACTCTGCTTACAACTCAGAAGGAGAAAGCAGGCTCTAGCTCCTTTCATCCTACAGAAAGGTAGCATTTTAATTATCAGAACAGTATGTACCTCCCCCTGCCAATTCGTGACATTTTATTTTAAAAGCATTTTTAATGGCAGGGGAAAGGGAGGAGAAAGGGCAGGGGGGAACAGAGACAGGACACACACAGACTCTACATTGATTTACTTACCGCCTAAGAAAGCAATGGTACCACCAACAGAAAACAAACAGATGGCATGATACTTTAAGTCAGAAAATAATTTCCACACCCTGAGCCTTCTTTTAAAGGAAATCTTTGTCAGCTACACAGAAAGTAAAGTTCAAACTAAACCAGAAAAGCACTGATTTATACCTGTAATTTGGCCTGCCCCAGGCTGGACATAACGTAACATTTGCAGGCTGTACTCGAGCTGCTGTATTGCAAATATATTCCTTAAAGAAGGGCCATTCTATTTTAGAACATATATCTAAAAAGAAGCATTTTCTAACTGAAACTTCACCCTTAGTTCAGAGATGCACATGCTTAATTGCTCTTACTTCTTAAATCTGAAAGTGAACATGACCATGCCAAATATACACTTTATGTAGAGAAATTTAATTTCTAACAGTGTGCCACATTATCCTCTTAAATTACCAAGGAAGTTATGCATTAAAAAAATATTCTGGAAATTCATACATGCAAGGGAAGAGACAGTCTAGTCTAGAGGACTTTCAAGCTCTAGGTAAAGAAACAGTTGGATTAAAAATCCCTTTATCTATAAGTAAAATCCTATTCCTTTCTAGTTCACTGGAAACATTTCTTTCATTTTCACTGGTAAGTTAAAAAGCAGTGAAGAGTTACTTTTCTTTGGAAAGTGTGTCATTATGAATTTAATTTATTCAAAAAAACAGTAATAATTTGTGGAAAATACTTGAAGGAATCACCACAATTCAGAACTAGACAGTGGTAGGTACTAATCAAATGAAATCCAAGTATACATGACTCAAAAAGTGACAATCAAAGACTGTAAACTTTTACTACACATTTTGCACCTGCTGTAAGGCACTTCTGTGTTTTCAGTATTAACTTCATCAGTTTGGATCCCTGATTTATGCTAGTGATAACCTGGCATTCTCCATCAAAATTCTAAAAAATCAAATCCCTGTGCTCATTCATCCTCCCTCCTTGCTCTCAAATGGTACAAATCCCCAGTGCTGTCACAAGACAAGCAAGAATAAACATCTAGAACTTAAGAGTAATTAGTTCAGGAGCTACTTAAGTTGTATCGCTACCAAATAGTAAAATCATCATCTGTTTTGTATTTTGTTCCTCCACAGAACATTTTCACACAACTTCTTGCTTGATATTCATTACTTCACAAATCCTACTCCATGGGGTGTTTCACTTTCACTCCCTCTTTCATTCATTTCTCAACAGACTTGCAAATAAATTGCTTCCTGAACGCCTGTCTCATTCAGCTGCTGCACCATCTTCTCTGACAACCATCTGTAACATCACTCAAGAGTCACCAATGCTCAGGAGGGAAGGGCTTCACTAGCCTTTATCAGGGCATGCATCACTGTCCTCAAAAGGATCCAAAAATTCTATATTTGAGCTGTCATTAAGATGATCTAAAGGCCATTTATTATTAATAAGATGAACTGGAGTATTTTCTATCATGTCATCTGTTCACAGAGACCAACCCTGAGAGGGCTGGTAAGGGAGCTCCCCTTCACGTGTCCTCTGAGTCTCTGTTCTCCTTTCACAAGTACCACACTTGCGGACGCAGCCGTGACAATGACTCCGTGATTCCCGCTCCACGTGACATTCAGAGAGTCATGAAGGCACAAACACTGCAGGCTTGAGCAGACACCACCTCTTCTAGTTTTGACAAC